AGCTCGTCCGTTGAGCATTCTCCATGTCTGCAATCCATCGTATGATAGCAATGTGGCCCTTCTTCCCAAAGAACTTTGGAGCCCCACAAGCTCTGAACTCCCGAAATATGAGAGTACCAGTCCAGAACTGACCAGCTGCCAGCTCTGCCCAAAATACCCTTAAGCGCTCCTCCAAAAACTCCATGATTCCCTCCTTGATCATACCAAACATAACAAGAGTCGCATCCAGGATACCACGTGTAATCTCTGACGTGATAAACTCATATATCCTCTCATCAATTGGTTCAGCGCCAGAGCCTAAATCGGAACCAAAACCAAAACCAAAACCTCATCGAGTAAGCAATACCATATTGAAAGGCAACAATACAAAAGATCATAGCATATCGGAACAATCTCTCATACTACAAGCTTCTTAGAATCTCTGTGACTCTCCTTGATTCGAGTACGGGTCTTGTGCTTTTAATAGTACGGACTGAATACCAACTTCCACACCTATCTCTACTTTCCTCAAGAATCATCTTGAATCTCCCAAGTCATTCTCCTATGACTATATTTACATAGTTCCCATCACTACACAGCTCACACAAAATACAAAGATACTTCCTAGGATTTCCTAGGATTCTACTCTCCACATGTGTTGATAGAGTCGTTTTCGATGTTGACAATCACCCACTGAATGCTGGTCGTACATAATTACAATAAAATAGACGTTCGGATATATGTCTATACCATAAGGCATTCATTATACAAGAACAAGCAATAAGGTTGAATCAAACATTATAAGGCTATTTAGTCTTAACTATGTACCACACTAGTGCATGCATCAAATAATTTATAGTATTAGCACAAACCTAACAAGCATTCTATCATGCATCCCTGAGTAGATCCTTAACCCTATACTATCATGCAATTCACATATTAACATACTAAAGCATAACATTCATGTATGGGTATTTTGTGAATCACTTATTGAGATCGGTTGATTGCATGAATCACATTCGTTTCTTCATAAAAATCTTTTCTATTTAGAAAAAATATTTATTAATCCCCAGTTTGAGTTCAGAAACACCAAAAAGTGTGTCCAAATCCCTCAAACCAAGGCTTTGATACCAATTTCTAATGTCCCAAAAATATCAAGTAAAATTTTTGTTTTTCAATCACCAAAACCATTCAACTAATTGTTCAAAAGACAATCATAGTATAATATGTTTAAACATCAAAGTAATAATCATAAATCAATGATGTAGAAATAAAATCTAGAGGATGCAGTGTGATCAAATCGGGCCCTTCGCTTTGGAACCATAAGTACCTGAAACATTTAAAACATGAAACCGCAAGAATAAAGAATAGTGAGTTCCCCAAAATATCACATACCATACATATCAGTGGGCCCAACCCTAAGGATATATTCCAACGCATATCAATACTATGATCTGAAGATAGTCTTACAATCACTTTCGTTGCTACAGCTCAGTTGTAGTCTTTCTTGTCATTATCCCACCATGGTCTTCCATACAAGTGATGTGATCTAACCACAGTCTTTCATATACACGTTGTGATCCAACCACAATCTTTCATGCAAGAGTCATAAAGACAGTCTAGCATCCTACATAGTATAGTGAGTAAACTCACCTCACAAGCACGGCCGACAGTTAACAAACTCACACAGACGAAAAGTGGGTGCTACACATTTCCTAATGAATCATACAAGGTAAACCCTTAGTCTGCCTTTTAAAACTAACAATTTGACTAAAAGTCGATCGAGTTAAAAAAGTCAACGATCAATGGTTAAGGTCAACTTCCGAAGGTCACCACGTCATGGCCTACCCATGGCCACGTTGTGGCCTTCCATCATAATCGCAACCAACTCAACTACCATGCCGTGGAGAACATGTAACCACGCTGTGGTAGCATCCTAACAAAACAGTCGAAAAAACCCATTTTTACCACGTCGTGGTGACCACCATGCCACGTCTCTGGATGAAAACAACTTACTTGATTAAGCTCTTAATTTGATAAGCCACGTCGTGGTTTCTGGATGACCTAAATCGCATGTGATCTTCTCAAAACTCATCCAATTTCTAGATCCAGAAAGTATTATGCTCAAGGGACCTTGGTGAATCATAAAGTTGCAAACTTTATCTCATTCATCCATAAAAATCACAAATCTGAACAAAAACATGCAATATAGCCTAGATCTAAAAAGGAGGAACTAAAAATGTGAAGAGTTGAGGACTTACAAGGAGTCCATAAAATGCACTCAAGGAGTAGAGATGAATAGCTTGTTGGATCAAAGCACTATAGTTCCTTTTTCTTCCTTCCAAGATCATCAATACACTAAAAATGAGCTTAAAGTATGAAAAGGGAGTATGGTTTATCAAAGACTCTTTGGAGGTGATAAAGGTTGAGAGTGGAGGAAACCCTAGCCATCACTTCCTTAAACAGAGCCTTAAGTCCGAAGATTAGAGTTTTTCATTTCTGTCCTCACCACGTCGTGGCAAGCATCATGCCATGTTTTGGTGCAATTAATGAAACACGCGTTCCATGCAGAAATTCCACATCGTAGTGATCCTTTCACCATGTCGTGGCTAGCCAACAATCTCAAAAATTACAAAGTGGAATTAATACCTGAAATCGGGCGTTACAACGCGAAAGCCAGAAATTAAACCAACAATGCGTAAGTCGTTGATATTAGTAACTAGGGTTTAGACCCAACGCCCTTAGGGATTAAGTTAGGTCATTTATGTATCCATATTTAGAAGAGGTTTAACCCCCACTATTAATCAACAATCGATTATCCTACATGGTATCAGAAGTCTAAATTAAAACCCTAAGTTAAAACCTTATTGCTAACAACATCCCATAGTCGCCGCCTTCCATCTCCGGTGACTTTCTATAATAATCGTCGGAGGTGCCTTCTCTGTCTGTTTTTTCCTTTTTTCTAATCTTTTCTCCTCTTTTTACTCCTAAAGAAAACCTCTCTCGTATAAATAGTTGGCGTAGCCTCTGCTGCCTTCTCCGATGTCTTTTAGTGCTGACTTCGCCGATCCGTCAGTTCTTCCTCGTCCCCATTGCATCTAGTTCTAACCGCTAAAGTTATCGCCACCGTCGCTGCCTCAAAATCTAGTCGTCGTCGACACCGCCTGCAGATCCGGACACTACCACCGATGTGTCCAGTTCTGGATCTCCACCGACCTTCCTCTTCTGCTTTTTATCTTCATCTATGTTTTATGATTTTGTTTTTCCAATTAAACTGTCTCTTCCCAATCAAACTGTGTGTGGATGTTAATGATTAGGGTTTAGGCCTAATGCCCTTAGGGTTTAAGTTAGGGCATTCCTGTATCCCTATTCATATGATGTTTAACCCTCACTATTAATCAAACAATGTATTATCTTACAAAGATGGAGGACTAGAAGGTGTTCGGTTTATTATATGAGCAGCAATAAGAACATATTCTCCCAAAAAAAATATTGGCAAAATACCTTGAAATCCTAACGCAAAATCAACATTTAAAATATGTTTATGTTCTCTCCAATCTTCCATTTTAATGAGGCATACCAAGGCAAGATGTTTGAAAAGTAATTCATCATCAGTCACAAAGTAATCTTTCATACAATTAAAATTTTTACAATTATCGGTTCGAATAATTTTTAGTTTTTGAGAGAATTGTCCCTCAATCATAGCAATGAAAGACATAAACATCTTAAAAATTTCTTTTTTATCAACTAAGAAATAAACCCACACAACTCGGAAATAATCGTCTAAGATAGTTAAAAAAAAAATAACGAGCACCAGAAGAGGAAGTTTCATCATACGCACCCTATAGGTCGCAATGTATTAAATCAAAAAGAGAAGTAGATTTTTTTTTTCACTTGAAGGAAAGCTATGTTTATCACCATATGACAAATCTCACATTTTTATAAGAGAAATTAAATATCCTTGTACTTATTCTTCCTATCTATGGTCGTGTTATCCATATCATGGCTTAAGAAAGGAAGAAGCTTGACCTCTTTTCCGATGACCCAATCACGGTACCATAGTTCCAAGGACTTTGACTTATCAACTAAAAATGTTTGGGACTTTCAAAGCTTGTCGAAGGTAGTAATTAAAGTCCATCCCGTCTCTCACTCGGGCCAATCACATCCCTCGAATGTCCGTCCTGTATAGCACATAAGTCAGACTGTCAGAGTCAAATATGATAAGAGAGTTTTGGATCATCATTAAGTGTGAAACTAAGATCAGGTTGCAATTTAATTTGGGAGCGAATAGAACATGTTGAAGAATGACATTGTGTGTTAGTCTCGCAATTTAATTGATTCATCTCCGGTAACATGATTAGTGCACCCGCTATCAATTATCCAAGCACCCAACTTTAGCTTACCATGCAGACGATCAGAATGAGGCTGAGGAGTACTTTGAGCAGTACCAAATGTAGCTGCTATTGCTGCCCATTGTTCAGCTGAGAAGATTGGCACGGACTTCATACAAATTGAAGTAAGACCACTCATCGAAATTTTCTGCTTTGAACTAATACTCAGCCAATACATCAAATAAATACACATGGAAGCCATAAATCATGCCTGCAATCTCGACCATCAGACTAATTAGGCTAAAACTTCAAAACAAATTCCTATATCCTAGGAAATACAAAAGGAAATAATATATTCAATGGAAAATACCCAAACACAAATATATTCTTTCCTAACAAAGAAAATGGTAGAGAGGGTGCTGCGATGGTTTAAGCTGGCTCTAGGCCGGGTTTTGAACGCCAGCGGGGAAATCGTGGGGAGGGAAAAAGAAAGACATTTGTTCTTGCTATTTAAACGTATGTTACGTACATAAGTTTAGCATGAGATTTTATCAAACATAATGATACAACACAAAATTTTCTTATTGAAAATGGAATTAAATAAATCATTTTAACAAACCAATTGAATCTCAATCGCAGTTCAGACAAAACAATTAAAGTGATGGATAAACTCCTAACTTAATTAACTAGTTACATCATCCACTCCCTACTATGACTATGTGCAAAACCAAAACTAGACGACGCCGTACCATTAGTCGGATTCTCCATATTCGCAATGTCATTTGCCTGAGCAATACTCAACATGTTCGGACCAAGCAACGCCGGAGCTTTCTTAATCATCATCAGTTCATCCGCACGTACTAAAACCTTTCTCTTCAACTCTACCAAGGATGATATGTACTGCTGCAACTCCTCCACCTCCAGCCCATCAACGCCTTCACTGTACCACGGTAATTCACTGGCGTTTATGATTTTCGACTCATGAATCACCTCTCTCAGCTTCTTCTCCGCTTCCAACTCCTTTGAAATCTCCACGTAGTGTTGGTTGAACTCTTTCTCAAGTTGTCCCTTTTGGGTGGTAGATTCATCTGATGTTGATGCGTTATTGGTGGTGATGTCAAGGAAGCGGTCGGCAACGTCATCCACGGTGGGGTGGCCGAATGCGAAAACCCGGCCACCAGGTGAGTGGACGAGCATGGTGATATGGGCTCCGGTTAAGATGCAAAGCTCGGCGGCTTTCTTGAAGAGGCCATTACGGCGTTTGGAGAAGGTGACTTGACGGTTGTTTTCTTCTTCTATTTTCTTTATTTCAATTTTTTTCCGGCCTTGCGACGACCTTTTCTTCATGCTATTGACGCCGGCGATGCTTGTTATGTTCATGGCGCAGTGGTGATTATAGCGAGTATGTAAGGGTCGTAAATGGGTTCAGGATTTATTTATAAGTGAATAAAGCAGAAGATTTATCTGTCTTAGGGAGAATCTCGATAATTATGGTCTGTCAGAGATTTTGTTTTTTTAATTTGAAATAATATCGTAAGGTCAAACGTTGTAGAAGGAAAGTTGTTTCTCGTATTTAATGGTTGTTAGGGTCATTCTACGTACTATTGATTAAAAAGCATATTAAATAACTATGTATATATTATGGAATAAGGTATATATATTATGGAATAAGGTTGACGCAGTGTCATGATCTTTTTATCTATCAAAATTTAGTGTCACGTAAACATTTGCATTTCTTACCAATCTTTCCTTATGATAGGAGTACCGTGGTATTTTTGTGTGTAAAATTGTTTCCAAACCATAATTATTTCCTATCAGTTTTGAGTTTTTTTTTAATGCATATCATAGTACAAATAATAATGCAGCCCAAGCCGAATTGAGGATTTCATCGGCAAAACTTCTGCATTTTATCGGTAATAGTATACCAATGAAAACTATTGCCGGTATATCAAATGGTTGAGGGACGATGTTCACCGACAGTAATATGCTCCACGTAATATCATTATCCACCCCAAAGCCTAATAAAGTGTAAAGTTTACCGAACTACTCGATAGTTAAATGGGAAAATGACTTAGGAGGGTAACTATTTTTTATCCGTGTTCACATATTGGCAACTTATTCTTTTTTGTACATAAGAAAGCAACTAACTTGTTTTAACTGTTTAAATTACACCAAAATTACCAGCTAATATCTGTTTTAACCGGTAACTCAAAAGGAAAATGACTTAGGAGGGTAACTACCTCTTATCCGTGTTCACATATTGGCAACTTCTTTTTTTTGTACATAAGAAAGCAACTAACTTGTTTTAACTGTATAACATCCCAAAAATCATGACCAAAAATTTCATTTTTAAGTGACCTACTCGGCGAGTCGGGGGACCGACTCGACGAGTTGGTCTGGGTTTGGGAAACCCTAAATTCGGGTGTTGGTATCATATTTAAGCATCTTATTCTCTTTCTTTTGGTTCCATTCCCAGCATCTTATCCCGGTCTTGGTACCCTATTTAAATCCGGGTGTTGACTTTGACCATTGACCGTTGACCTTGACTTTGATCAGGGTTGACTTAGTTTGACTTTTGGAGGGTATTCTGGTCTAAGTGTTATTTTGGTATTGATAGTTCGGGGAGTCGAAGGAGTAGCAGTTCGGGGAATTGCCAGTTAGCCGCCAGCAGAGTTCCAGCCAAGGCTTCAGCACTGCAATGTGAGTCTCCTCACTGTGTGAATGAGTCTAAGGCCACAATGCCAGCCCATGTAGTCTATGAGTAGGAAGACCCGGGGGTTAGCCCTAGGCATTGTATGCTAGTATGTTATTCCGGACCAAGGTCCGATGCGGGGCGGGTGCCCGAGGAATGTTTGCATGTTAGCTGAGTACGGACGGGGTTCCGTATCTCATTATTAGCAGAGTATGTTTCTTAGGACAGGGATACGGTAGAGTATGTTTCTTTATGTGTTAGCATGTTATATGATTGTATGTGTTTAGCGGGCGGGGCCCGGAGACAGGCGGGGCCTAAGAGAGACGGATATGTATACCGAGCGGGGCTCGATGCCAGGCGGGTCCTGATGTCGGGCGGGGCCCGATGCCGGAGTATTAAATTAATGGTTTGACAATTATGGTTTTAGTATTAAATTAAAAACGAAATTTTTGGTCATGATTTTTGGGATCTTACACAGTTAACACAAGTTAGTTGCTTACTTATGTACAAAAAAAATTTGCCAATATGTGAACACGGATAAGAGGTAGTTATCCTCCTAAGTCATTTTCCCTTTGAGTTACCGGTTAAAACATGTATTAGCCGGTAATATTGATGTAATTTAAACAGTTAAAACAAGTTAGTTGCTTTCTTATGTACAAAAAAAAGTTGTCAATATGTGAACACGGATAAGAGGTAGTTACCCTCCTAAGTCATTTTCCCATAGTTAAATCTTCTTGTATCTTAATTTAATAACGTTAAAAGGACACCAAGTATCAAGACCTATCAATACTCAGAATTGATTTTTTGATTTTACGTAAAACGTATATCAAATCACCGCATCAATAGGTTAATACTTGAATAAATTGATTATATAATTTACGATAGCTACTCGTTCCTTTATACTCCCTCCGTCCCAAAATAATATGTCACAGACAAAAACACACAGTTTAAGAAAACATTAATTATCATTAATTTTATTAAATAAAATGACAGTCTTACCCTTCTGTTGCATTTAATTCTATGGTAGTTGCATTTAATTTTATGGTAATTTAACTAACAATGAGGGGTATTATGGTAAAATACATATTTATTTTTAGAAGTAGGCAATTATTTTGGGACAAACCAAAAAGGAAACATAGACTATTAATATGGGACGGAGGGAGTAATAATTAGACGTGTAATTAACAATAGCAAAATTGTTCTTTATAATTAACATATACAAGCACTACATGAATATAATGATTATATAAGGAGCTTTGATTTAAATTACTGTAATTCTCGATTTCAATTCGATTTTGCCGTTAAACATCTGATCATGCTAAATTAGATCCCAAGACGTAGAATTTTGTTCGTTTTGCCCATTGCGACCTCCTTCACCCGATTAGTCGGTTCCTCCGGCTACGTGGCCTAAGTTGGGTTAAAACGACAATGTAACTCTTGATTTCAATTCGATTTAGCCACTAAACATCCGATCATTCTAAATTAGACCTTAATTTTGAAATTTTGTGTGTCTCGCCCTTTTGGGACATCATGCGCCCAAATCAAAATATATCCTTAAATAACTACATTTTATTAAATATAAATATAATCATTTATTTTTTTAAATACAACCACAACCACATTATCTATAAAAGATACACTACAAAAAAAAAAAGTCCTTATTAGTGACTAATTTTTAGTGACGACCTAAAATTCGGTCACTGGAAGCATCTTTTAGTCACCAGGAATTAAGTGGTCGTTGAATTTTGGTAATCCTATAAATTTAATGACCAATTCTATGTGCTGGTCACTAACTCGGTCACTAAACCGCAAAAAAATTAAACTACTTTTGTTTCATATCATAACAAGTGACTAAAAATAATGGTAACTATGTTAACTATATAGTGACTAAGAATAATGGTCACTATGTTAGAAGCTTAGTGACGAAAAAATGGTCACTGTATTAGAGGTTTAGTGATAAAAAATAATGGTCACTTACTACTGTTATTCAAAACCACACGCCTACTCTTTTGTTATTGAAAACTATTTAAATGATGAAAACAATTAGTGACCACTTAATAGTTGTCATTGATGAATTACAAGTAAAAAACAATTAATGACTATAAAACAATGGTCACTGAATATATATATATATATATATATATATATATATATATATATATATATATATATATATATATATATATATATTAATTTTCAATTAATAAAAATTAAAAATTTTTTAATTAAAATTTTTTATTTTTGAAAATGACAACAGCTTTGTTTTCTTTTTACACATAATTTTGCAAAGAATCGTTATATTGACCAGTCCTTATCAAACATATTTACTATAATAATATTTGGGAAAAGTTAGAAAAAAAAAAAAGAGAAACACGTTAGAAAAAAAAATGTCTTGGGTTGTATTTGTATTTTCACTAAATAAGGAGACTCATATTTACTATAATAATATTTAGAAAAAGTTACAAAAAAAAAAAAACATGTTAGAAAAAAATGTAATGGGTTGTATTTATATTTTGACTAAATTAGGAGACTCCACTAATTTTGACTAAATTAATTATCCAAATATTTTTTTGTGAACACGATTAAGTGGTTTATTGTTATAAATAAGGTTGATTAATTTTAACTACTACCAATAAAGAGTACTTTGCCCTAAATCGACTCAACACATCTCTTTTGCCCTAAATTGATACACCAACAATCTCCAGTTCGACACCATCGCATCATCCCATCGTCGACTGACCATCGTCATCGGACCATCGCCGCCGGTCCATCGTCGCTCCACACCCTCCCATTGGCGCACCTCTGTTCTCCACTCGAAGTCAAACAGGTACTACATACTCTTTTCTCCGCTCTGGCCATCAATGTAGTTAAATCTACTGCTCTCATGTCACATGCATCACTTTCCTGCAAATCAATTGTTCAATTGCTAATCAATCGGCCCCATCATTGCAAAACGAACAAAAGTCATATATACTAATATTACAACGATAACAATTTTTACACTTTCCTGCAAATCAGTTGTTCAATTGCTAATCAATTGTTCAATTGATAATCTTACTAATAGTTTTCCCTCTCGATGCTTTGAAGGTGTAGAAGGTATAATGCAATTTGTTTTGTAATTAGTAGTTGTACTTGCATACTTGCATTATGAGTTTATCATCATGAATTTCAATTCTTTTTTGCAAGCCTCTTGTCTTCAGTAACAATGCTATTCACGTAACTTAATTGCAGAAAAGCTAGATACCTTCATAGTCTATAATCATCGAAGGAATGTCACATCATCTGCCAAGAAGAAAAGAAAGCATGTTGACATGTCCTTGCATCAGGTCCATTTCTCTGTTGTCATTTACAAAGAATATGAATCAGAATTCTGTTATTATAAGACATCAGATTCTTGTAATTATCTAGTTTAAACTATGTGTTTGCAGACTCCAGATGGTGCACTACTTAATATAATAAGAAATGCATATGATCTTCTTTCATGTTGTGATATCAAGCTCTCTGAGGTATCATTTTTGCTTTACATTAGCATTCACACATAGAGAAACTTATGTGGTTTCTAGAGTGTGGAGAATGTTGACCAGATAATTTTTGTTGTGCATATTGAAAGTAATGATAAATATGCTAATTCTGGACCACGATATCTCATCCTTCTTCATCCTGCTCCAAGTCCTCTTTTGGAAGTCACTAGCCAAAAGGTAAGCTTTGGTGAAAGAATTGGGGTTGGTTGCCTTTTATTATTTCAAATATTCTTTTTTTCTTTTTAACTTTCCTAGTTTCATTGTGGTTCAATTTATAATCATTCTGAATTACAAATTTAGGCTTTCGAATTCTTATGGAGAAACATTGAGGTCAAACATGTTTACCTATACCCTATTTAGACATACAACTCATAACCATTTTTTCCTCTTTAGTAAACTTGCTCTTTTGATCTCAGCTTGATGGGAGTTTGATAGTCATGGCCGAAAATGTCATGGGATCTCATATTGACAAAAATCATGAGTCTATACTACAATATGGCTACAAGTAGTATACTATATGGCATATGCAATAAGTAAGAGAATATGAGACTTTGTGATGAAATATGATATGCGTGTTCATGTATGTAATGTAGGTGTACACGGTGCAAGTTAGAGAATGTGAAAATATGGAATAAGGGAATAGACTGGAGTTCAGATAAAAATCTATATTGGAAGCACGATGTTGACAGGTTTGAGTCACTAAAAGTCATATTGCATGGAAATGCTGAATTTGAAGTTGTTGATGTCAACATTGAGGTTAGACTTAGATAATTGTTGTTATCCTTTTCATATCTTCTTGATCCAATTTCCCTCCCAGGGAAGTCATTTGTTTGAAGTCCCAGATGGCTACAAGATGAGGGTCACATCTGGAACTTCAGGTTCTCTTGAAAGCTTTAATAATCTAAGTTCGTGTGGGGTCATCAATACCTTTCTTCTATATGTCCTACAACTTACACATGTCTGTGTAAACATTTGGGTCAGGTCTCTCCATAGATACATATGAAATAGATTATTCTCCCACATTCAATCCACCAACATCTTACCTACGTGCAAGGGGAGGTCTATACTCTATAAAATCGCAAACTTTTATTTTTTAGTTATATAATTTACATTCTCCATTAATATATTTTGTTGATAATATCATAATATTTCCAGCACGAGCTGAACTTTGAGACTTTGTTGAGTATGATCTTGACAATGAAGATGAAGATTGGCTTCAAGAGTTCAACAAAGAAAGATTGATCCTTCCAGCTGAAAAGTACAAGTCCTTTTATGCTTCTTCTTCTCTTACACATAGTCTAACTTCAAATTTCTTTTTTTTTTTGGCAGATTTGAGACTATTATATTTAAGTTAGAGGTGTTGGATCATAAGGCTGGTGAAAGAGCAGGAGTTATAACTCCTACACTTGGCTCACCTATACTTGTACTTTTGACATTTGATGCTGCAGTTGAGGTATTTTTCATTTTTAGTATTATTATGATATTATCACAATCTATATAACTCTTAGGATTTTTTTCAATTTGCATTTATATCTTGAATTTTATCTATTTAGTAGGCCCTTCAAGCACTTTCCATACAATATGGGGTATTCGAGTCAATTTATAGTTACTGGAAAGAAAAGGTATCTCATTTTTTAACAATGAGTACTCTTGGTTTTTATGCTTTTTAATTTTTGCTTACAAATTTGTTCCTTTTTTTATCGGCGTGAAAGATGGCTTAAACCCATATAGGTTAGTTTCCTCTTTCAAATGACCATTTTGCCCCTGAATGGTAAAAAACAATTTTTTTCCTTTTTGTTTTTATTACAGCCACCTCCTCCAGTTAATGACACCAACCCATACAATATATTTAGACTAAGGCAGAAAGCTCAGAGAGTTCATACAAGAAGGGTAAGTCTGTCAATTCTTCATATTTTTATATAATGTAAGGTATTAAAAAATGATTATATATTTTCAGATGCAAATAAGAGAAAACAATGTCCAATCATTTGAAAAGCTTCGCCATGTCAGCTTTTTCACCCATATATGTTCTCATCCTACTTCTTAATCTTACATTTTATTTGTCAATCAGGTGAGACGCAATCTTGATCAAGCCAAAAACTTACTAGAAGCTTTAATAAAGGTACCCTCACACACACACACTTCTTTATATTTTTTATTTTTATTTTGGTAGTGATACTGACTAGACGAAGAATGTGTGCAACAGAGAGAGGAGAAAAAGAGAGATGTTTACCTTTTGAGAATCATCATTCACAGAAGAACCTCATCCCTTTCAGCTTTCAACTTTCACCTCTGTGTGGTTGGTTGAACACAAGTTTTGTTGGATTTGGTGTCTAAGCCCATAACTATAACTGGGATGTACTTGACCCGATTATAGCATGGTCCTTTTGGGTTGCCTTCACCAGTGCAATTTGATAGGATGGACTTTTAAGAATAAGGTTATTATGATTTATTAATATATTACAAGTATAATATATTAATATGAAATCATATTATTTAATTAGTATTGATCAAGAATTAATTTGGAATTAATTTTGTGATCAAAAGAGACTAATTAAATATATGGGGATTGATTGTGTAAATCAATGATTCTAATAGTGTGGGCTAATGATCCATGGTTATTTAGGATGGGCTAAACCAATGAGATAATCCATGGATAGTCCATGGACGTTAACCCATGGATCCTAAGTAATATGAAAGGTCATTAGGGTTTACAAGGTGTAACCCTAGCATTTGCTACACTATAAAAGCACACCCTCATGACCAAAAGCGGTTGCCACGACATTCTTGGAGAGTGATATTGATTTTGTGCAAGTAACTTATTCTCTCAAGCCTCCTCTTGCATATTGGTGTTTGTGAACCATTAGAGGCATCACACTTGAGGTGTTCAAGCTTTCAAAGGTCAAGAACAAGTCCTTCTAAGAGGTAAGTCATCTAACTAGTTGTATTGTTCATTTGACAATTTGTATGCTAGTTAAGATATATGCTTTGGAAAATTGAAAATATGCATGTATAATTAGAGAAAACATAGATCCAAAGCATTTAGGGTTGCATGTGCACCATAGGAGTGTTATAATGCTCAAAACCCAACAGTGGTATCAGAGCCTAGGATTGTTTTCTATTATATTTGATGCTTGCTAATTTTTCAAAAGCTGAAAAAGTCGATTTTCTGGCCTCTGACTGGTGAACTCGCCGAGTCTATGAACTGACTCGATGAGTCCACTCAGTAACAGAGCAACTCGACGAGTCAGTTCATGCACTCGACGAGTTGCAGACTCTGTTTGCAGAATTTCGGGTTTCTTGGTCTGAATTGGATTAGGAACACTACCACAAACAGTTTTGGATCATTAAAATGTTTTTCCCTGATTTGGTAGTGCTTGTTCTCATCCAACCACAAGATAATTGTCAAAGTTTTGAGAAAATTATAGTTTTATGTGATAAACAAAGTTGCTTTTAAATTGTTGACTTGGAATTATCTTGTTTATGAGTTTAGTTAGATCAATCATGAATTATGTGATATTTTAGTTGTTAGAAAATTGATCTAAATGAATTTTAATGACCTCCATAACTTGTCCTCAAGTTATGGAAAATGAAAGGTCTCATCTTTAAAATTGCATTAAACTCAAAAGTTATGAATACCTAGAGTTTTGACAAGTTTCAAAACTTGCCCTCAAGTTTTGGAATTTGTAAAATCTCACTAATGTAACTTTAATTCCAAACCCTAGAGTTTTAAAAGTTAAAATTCAACCCTTATACTTTATAATATTATAAGTTTAATAATATATATATATATATATATATATATATATATATATATATATATATATATATATGTATAAGACAAGTCGGTCTTACCGTTAGTAGGCCTCATTCACGAAGCTGGTCTATAAAGGGGGTATAAGGTTATTGCCTATAAAATGGTGGTTTAATGGGTGTCCACTCTCACCCACCGCTTCCTTGACTGGTGGAGGGTAGTTAGCCGAACGGGTAGGATAGGACATTAATTCTCCCTCATTAAAAGTATAATGATAAAAAAAATAAAGTAACTAAACTTTTATTAAAATTCCCAATCTTAGTTACTTTAGGAAATGTGAAAATTGTGCTAATCCATGAAATTACACTTTGCACCTTGTTAAGTCGTTAATGGAGCGTGTGTGGTTAACCGGCACACTAATCTGGGACTGACAATGTGTGGCAAAGGGTAGCTTGATGTTAATCATAGATCGATGGAGCGTGTGTGGTTAACCGGCACATTGATTAGGTGATTTGTAACATTTAGTGTACCAAGCTATTTTGCATTGTTATTCACACATTGTTTGTGATCCTCGGCATCCCAGTCACAAACTTGAAGGGCACAATCGAGATTTAAACATGCCATTGAAAAGTTCAATGAATCTCAAAGGATCTAAGAATTTAAATCCAATTAAAACTTAATAATCTATTTCGTTTTTCATGGTGGAAATTGGTAAATCGTAATTTACCTACCTTCAAATATTTTACAATTGGATTACGGCATCCCTTTCACAATTGTAGAATATTGTGTTGGGTCCTAGCCTTAATATTTCATTTGGGTGTAATATTAAGGATTATCATCTAATCTAAACTTTGTTCTTCTTCTTTCAGATGTCTATCCCAAACAATGTTTCCAACCCAATTCCTTCAGGCTCTTTCTCCCTCATGAACCTATGTGGGAGGGTCATTTTCGATGGCTCGAACTTCAATGGCTGGATTCGAAACATTCGAATGGATATTCGTTATGAGGACAAAGAATATTGTGACATCCCCATTTTCACGGCCAGAAAAGACCGATTATGTTTATGTTTTATAAAAATCAGAGTATCTCTTTAAAAGTGTTGCGGAATTTGTTCCCAGAAAGACATGATAAATACGTTATCAAAGCATTTCCGAAGAAATGTATTTTTATTCATTTTCAAAACCTTGGGATGTCATCGTCAATACAAAAACATAAGCATAAACAGAACTTACATTTATTTACACTAGTGATCTACATCTCTTTTAAATCTCTCAGTGTAAAGTAGCTTCATATCGACACCTATGATATAAATAAGCTTGAGTGGGTCAGGTTAGGAACCTGGTGAGTACATAGGGTTTTCAACCCACAATAATATAATCATTATGTTTAATCATCAAACAATCAATCAACCCAATTACCCATCCCCATTATCTTATTTACTCTTAAGGATCCACCCTAAGAATCAGTTATTCCTCGTTCATTCATTCCTAAGGATTATACTAAGGAATAGACACGAAATCCATCGTTGCTAATGACACATCTGTCAAGCATAGCTGCTAATATTATCACTTAGGCGCAGCTGCCAAAATTGTGACATTCTTTATGGGGCGCATCTTCCGGTATAGTACTTTAGGCGCATCTGTCAGGGTTATGAGGTTCTCTATTAGGCGCTTCTGCTGGTAGAGTCCTTTAGGCGCATCTTCCAGGGTTTTATTGACAGTATTGTTTTCAAGAATCCACTCGCGATACAGGTCAATGGGTTTTTAGAGTACACCGGTGAACACATTGTTTACAACACCTACACGTTGCGAGCCTGCTAGTGTTCCACTGGACTGTCTAGAATAGTCTGTGGTTGTCATCCATACTCTGCTAGATGACGGGGCCAGCATTTGGAAAAAGGCTTCTCACATCGTCCACCTCTCACCCATACCTCATGGTCTATATTACCTCTCAACTTATCGTCCAACTCATATTTCATCTACACATGTTTTACCCAACATATTATGTAGATATAAATACATATACAGTTTAAATCATATAAAACTTGTATAAAATCGTTCATCCAGCATAGATAGCATGTATACAGATAATATGCACACATAGCATGTAGTTTATATAAAATACTTCATATCTATGTGTAAGATGAAAGTGACTATGCACTCAATTGTTAAAGTGATGATTCCAAACTCGGACAGCGCTTCGCTTCTTAACAATATAATTTCCTTCGACGAAACCTAGTATTATTACCACTAGATTTTAGTCTAATATTTACCGTGACTAATTATTAGTCTTAACATTATTATTATAATATAAACGTTTAAATAATATTTTCCAACCACTATGTACAGACAGGGGCCAGACATAAAACACCGGAGGGCAGGACCATTTTGGCATATAGCACTTCTGAAATCCAACAACCCTATGCGGCCCTTTAAACCAGATTCCCCGTACCACGAGTGGTTAAAAAGAGATTATAACGACACTTATATAACTCATAATAATAGCCCAAATATTTATTATAAGGTCCTAATAACATTACTATATTGAAACATAAGTTATACTAAAGATAGGGTAGGCGTAGCTTACTTACAACAGGTTTTTCTCAAATCCGGGCTTCGTTGGAGCAGCGTTCCCGAGCCAAAAGGCTCTTTTCTCGGGGCTTCGGGAGCCTCGGGGCTTCCTTCGGGTGCTAGGGGGGGGGGGGGGGGGTTTGGGGCTTTAGAGAGAGAAAGTAGAGAGAGAGAAGAGTTTGGATGGTGTGAAGAATGAGGAACCCGACACCTCTATTTATAGGCTGAATTCCTGATCGACTCGCCGAGTCCACGCCACATGTCAGCTTTCTGGTGGCCAAACGTGTGTGGCCTGTATTGTGCCACGTCACCCCTTTTGCAGCAGCACCCTGCCGACTTCTAAACCCCGTCACTTTCGCATACGAGCTCCGTTTTCGACGTTCTTTTTTTCCACGCGTAGGTAAAAACAAGATCTACAGCTTTCATTTAGACTCTGTCGGCTAATTCTCGACCGATCTTAAATTTAAGAGTAGGAGGAGATTAGACTATTAAATGACCGCGGAAAATTCGTAACTCCTTCATACGGACTCCGTTTTCGTCTGTCTTTTTACCGTTGAGTTCCTATTAATGAGATATTCAACTTTCATTTAGGTCGCGTAAGCCAAAAACCGCTCGAACTAAAATTCGAGTTTCGGGTCGTGCACTGCTAAGCCAAATCTTAGAAAAATTCATAACTTCCTCATACGAAGTCAGATTTGGGCGTTCTTTTTTTGTATGTTCTCGGTTTAACGTATACTACAACTTTTGTTTAGATTACTAAGGCTAAAATTCGCTCTATCATAAATCCACTATTTACGCTTCCCGGTGCCGTGCCGGTTTTGCCGTAAAACTTCAACGGGCCATAACTTCTTCGTTATAACTCGGATTTCGGCATTCTTTATATGTACAAAAACCTTGAGACATGTTCTACAACTTGGTTAAGATTATTTATTCTAAATAATCTTTTGTCGAAAAGTCGTTTTCGACCCCCTATGATCTCTAAAT